ACCTTCTCCTTCTGAAACTTTATATATGGCTCACTGTAAGCAGAAGATCTCCAGGGGGGAACCATAGCTTTGGCCTTTAAAATATCTGGTTGGGGTGTTAAATTTGCTTTCTTGGTTTCCACTGAAGGTTTCCTTTCAGGACTGTGCAGCAGGAGCTTCTCAGGCTTTAGCTGAGTGGACAGAAGGGTTAGGTTTTAATCAAATCCAATAATAAAGCCTACAAGCTATTGGAGGGAAGCAAATGTACAGGGAAAAAGAAGTGATTAACCATCTCTTTCCTTGTTTTCCAAGCTGATAGACCATCGTTGGTTGCAAAATAAGGCTACCCTTGCCTGTGTTCACAGACCGTGGTGCATTCACCACTCCTGAATGGTATAATGTATGTAACGCACCCGTACCTGTAATGTGTGTGCATGTATCTAATAACTTACCTTATACACCACAGGGAAATAGTAAAGGTTCTTCTCTTGTGTGAAAAACAAAAGGCACACCTCAAGAAAGGTGCAGCACAGTCTGCATTAAAGGCTAGAGGAGGCCTAGCCAATACACTGGTGAACTGTACCAACAACTACAGCTGCTTTGTGCTGATGTGACCTCCCACAACCAGTCTGACATGGAGAAAATACCACTGGAGCCTCCCCCTCCCTCTTCCCAGTCTCTGCTCTTCTCCAAAGCATTGTGAGCTCCCAGCACTTTCTCTCTGCTGCTCCCTTGGGGTTCCCCAGTTCTTGGCCTGGCTGATCCTGCTACGCACCAAGGATATTTCATTCAGGTTTCCCAGCCCAAGGCTGTAATCTGGATTAAGAGCAGGCTCAGGGCATGGAGCAGTCCCTCTCCAAGCACAGATGGTCAAGGGGCTGTTTTCATACACTTGGTAAATAAACAAGTAGTGACTTGCACCCTTCAGCACAGGGCTCTTCTCTTGCACTGCTTATTTTGGGGTTTGGCATCTTTTCCCTCCTTGCTTTTTGACATGCACTGTGTTATCCATTCCCCTGCAGAGCATGTCAGGAGCTCACCCTGTCACCAGTGAAGTACATGTGGCTCCTGTAGTTGGCTCTAGGGGACAGGAACCATCTTCTCCTCTGTCACCTTCAGTGTGACTGGCACAGTCACGGCACATTTTATCATCCATTCATCATACTTCCTCACTGATGCTGTAGCCACCTTCGTTGCATGCTCAGTAGGACATTTAAAGCTGTTTATGCTTTGGTGCTCTGGTACTGCCACTGCAAATGCCAACAGCTGCCCCATGGTTCAGAATTTGGTGAGCTTCTTTTATTCCCCACTTGCCCATTACCATTTGGTTTGTATCACTCACTGGAGAACCGCTGTGAGGAACAAAGGGCAGCATAAAGGGCAACCTAACAGGGCTATGGTAGTATCAAGGCATCACCTTTATTACATAAACACAGCTGTAAGGGTGGGAGAGCAGCACATTTAACACACTGCTCCAAGGCTCATCCATCCCTTCTGATCCTCACCCTCTTCCACAGGGCTAGGCTGGGGCTCCCTCCCTCACCTCCTGCAGGCAGGCAGGAGATGATGAGGTGTATGGTCACCTCTCCCCCACAGCCTGCAGAGAACCAAAGCAGCACAGGAGGCACTGGGGGTCAAATCAGAAAGGGAAGCAGCAGGAGCCCAGAACCCCCTGCACAATCTTCTGCTGGGATGAGGTTCTCCAGTGATGGCAGGATTAGAGGAAATGGCAGGTAAGGGGGACTATACAGAGAAAGCAATTGCCCTCCTCCTTCTCACCACCTTTTTTATCCCCATTTCTTTATATTGTTAAATAGTAGTATCACAGCACTGTTCAGCTTGCTCAGTCTATCAAAAATTACCCTGTCTTCTCCTGCCTACATACCAGGAAAGGAAGGACATTTTAGGTTCCTACAGTGGTACCAATTTATCTATGCCAGCCAAAACTTCACAAACTTCCTACACCAGAAACTGCCTGGCTCTCTCAAAGCCTGACCTACTTGGTGCAATGTTTTCATTCTTAACTGTAGCTCCAGCTACAGAGGGATCGTGTTTACAAAAACCTCACTGCTTTATAACTGCAGTGCAGGTTACAGAGGAATCTATTTCCATGCTGGGCTCCTTTAATTATAATTTATATAATTTTATTATGATCCTTTAATACTCAGTGTTTCTTGATGTAGGACAAATCAAATCTCCCAAGTTCATTCTAGGCCAACTCCCCCCACCTGCAGAGTTCTGCACACCACACAGCACCTTTACTGCCACTTCATCTTTATTACAGTGAATTTTCACTTTTTCACAGAGCTGAACTAGTAAGAAATGTCAGAGAATCCTAAATCACCTTTTGCTTCAGTGAGACTATCTTAACTGGATATGCTCAAACTTAAAAATTAATTGTAATGAATAGACCTTAAAGATCCCTTTTCTCCTTATTGTTGTCTTTGAACTTTCCATCATTTTTGTCCTTGGATGAACCTTCTGGTCAACAGCAGAGTGACTTTCTACTGGTTTGCTGTTATTTCTCTTTCCCATGTATCTAATTTATTAAAGAATACTGCTTTCTTACACAGCAAAAATACAATCCCCCAAAAAACCCAAACGCCCAAAACAGAACCAAATGTTCTTGTTTTGAAAAGCAATTCCCACAGCACTTCTAGAAAACAAAAAGGAAAGGCAAATGAACGCAACCAAATACAACCTCAAGCCAACCCTAAGGTAGTTCTGAAAAATGTCATCCTTCATTTTTCCACATGTCTGGCAATTCCTAGTTTAACCTGCACCCACGAGGAGCGTCGACTAACTAGCTAGAGCAGTTTCAAAATCTTTCATTAAGTGCAGGTATGTAAATTGTGAATGACAGTAAAATTCAGTACTTTAATTCAAGCTGAAGGTGTGCCAGACCTTACCCTGCACCAGGCAGTTCCTATGCCCAGGGGACATCCCTGAGGTGGGCAGGTAGCATGCTGACTTCATTTGACAACTGCGAGTCCACAAGGACCTCTACATGCTCTGCTTGGTGCGTCACATGCTTGCACGATACAGAACCATGAATTCTTAAGGCTGGGAAAGACCTCCAAGGTCGCTGAATCCAACCTTTCAACACCACCTTGCCAACAAAACCGTGGCACTAGGTGTCCATGTCCAGTTGTTTCTTGGACACCTCCAGGGATAAGTGACTCCACCACTTCCCTGGGCAGCCCATTCTAATGCTTGGCAACACCCTTTCAGTGAAGAAACAGAAATAGTCCCACAGCTCCTGAAGGGTCCAAAAGTACCACTGTTAGAGACAAGTCAGGAGAAACTGCTCCCACTCTTCCAGCAAATCTGCAGTTTCTATGCCCTTTAAAATACCTCTCCCACCAACTGTGTATTCATGGCAGACTCTCTTCCCTTCACTGCACCCACTCTCCAGCCCAGTAATTTCAAAGCCTCCTTTCCGTAGTCTTTAAAAACAAGCCAGCAAAAGAACAGAAGGACACCAAAACATGTTTCAACACTGCAGCTTTCCACCCCCAAAGCAGATGATCCTTGTCTCCCTGCTATTTACATTTGTGTACTGAATTTTCTTGCCAATTCACCGTTTCACTGAAAAGTAATCTGGTTCTGCCCTTTCCTTGTCCTTTATGACTGCTCCTTGCCCTTACACGGCAGCCCAGCCACAGCAGGGAGGGGGACTGAGACAGGTGCAGGCACTGCAGGCACCCTGTGCGGGGTTTGGGGCACACCCACCAGGCCATGATGGACCACTGCCCCACTTCTGCAGCAGGCATGGTAGACAACCAGCAAGGAGACACTCCAGCTCACAAACTCTTTTTTCCTCATGAGAGCTTTGCAAGAATCCTCAAGGATGCAGGAAGCAAGACTCGCTCTAGTCCAAAGATAGTACTGGCTGTATCTACGACGCAGGCACGGAGCACCAAGCACAAAATTATTTACTACAGAAAAAATATAAAATTCTTCTGTGAAGCACAATCAACTTGAGAATGCCCACTTGTACTACTAGGCAGGTAGCTTGGTGGTAAACATTCAGTTGCAGAGCTCTGATAAAGCACTGAAGCTCTTTCAGAAGGCTTCTGGACCAGACAGCTGAGGTTGGTTTTCCTGGCTTAACTGACTGGAGCAGTCAGGATTACAGGTATTAGGTATCGCCGACAATACTGCATTGAGATATCCTCCAGCCACGTACACTTAGATTGGCACCATTTTTCTCACCTCAAAATCCAAGCACACAGTTTTCCTGAGCTTTAGAACCAGGGCCATTTGGGGCTTGCAGTTCATTTTGCAGTTAGGTCCCCGCACAGCAAAACTTGTAAAACTTAAATTACATCACTCAGATTGTGATTCGTGGCTCCTTTAGGGAGGAAGGTGTGTCTAAGGAAGTCACAAAACATTTCTGAAGGGATCTTCTAAGTTCAACAGCCACAGTTCAAATCACCTTGAACAAGCAGAGAATTGCTAATGATTTCAACTGTTCCCATCAGCTCAGCTCCACCGAAGAGGATGTTTGAGTGGAAACGCTACCGGTCAGGACTTGTGGCCTTCTCTCTTTTCTCCACTGTCAAACATCAAATGTAACTTCAGAAAATCCAGAATTTCGTGCTTTAGCAGTAACACAAGGAATCCTCTTCTCACAGAAATACCACTCCAGCACTGCAAAGACTGACAAGAAATATGTGGTGCTCTGCTGCGCTTTTCAAGTGACACCAGGAGCTCGTTACTCCTCAGCTTGTATTTCCTCCCACAGCACACTCCAGTGACAGCATCTGATGGTTGATGTCAGTCAGTGCAACTGAAGTTATTACAGGGCACTCTACACACTTGCTTCACCAACCCGATGACCTTCTGAAGGAGAAACCCAACCAAAACCATCTGCAGCAGCCTCTGTAACACCACTGAAAACATTTCTGTATATCCAGCAAGTCATACATAAAGGCAGGGAGAAGAGCAGCTATGACTGTGAATTTATGGAAGCAGCTACAGAAGTGCAATGTGCCAGCGACAAGAAAATCTCCCGCAAAAACAACTTAAAATGACTTTATTTTTTTAAGTATATTAGCACAATATTTACAAAATCATTTCCTGTTTCATAAATAAAAACATTTTCTTGGGTAAAGACTATAGATCTATAGATATTTCAAATATCTGTATGTTTGTATATACACACATGTACACACACAAATGAAAGCACACAGTTATGAACAACTTTGGTCTTAAATTACTGGTGGAAAAGGGCTGGGTGTATCAATGACTTTTAAAACTCTTGCTTTTAAGTTTGTACCTACAAGAAATCCAGCCCTTAACACAACAGGACAGTGGGTTTCTCCCATTTCTGGGGCAACTGATTCTGCAGCCCCTACAGGGCCACCGAGCTCCTCAGGTTTTGAGCTCGGCCCGATCCCAAGGTGACACAAACGGGTTCTGCTGCAGTTTGCTTTACAGAAGGTAACATAAAGCTATTTTGTACATAACAGTTTTTATAAGGCAGAATACCTCAACAGAATCCCACTTGATTTGGTTTTTCAATTCCTCAGCTGCTAGACTTTTAATTTGCCAGAGGGAATCACTAGTTATAAACAGGGAACACCACACAGTGCTAATCAGATAAATTCTTACACTGAATTGTTAATGGAAAATCATCTCCCATCTTTAGCTAGAGATCACTGACATTATGGAAAAACCTGCATCAAAAGATTCATAGGTAAGAGCTCAAATCTTACACGCAAACGCTCCCACTGACTAACGTACGACAGTGAGTGTAAGCCATACATGCTTCTTTCATGTTTTATCACATGAATGATCCTCTTCCCTGTGCCCAGTTCCACTGATCCTAGAGAGGGCTGGACTAGAGGTTGCTTTAAATGGTTCAATCCTGCAGCCTTAGCAAGAGGGCTGTTTATGACAGCACCATTTGTAAGATCAGGTACCTCAATTCTGTTTTGTTGAATTCTCAATGCCAAGTGCCTGCATCAAGACTTGGAGCTCAACGTGCAGAGACCGGAATCTCTGCAACATGCACCCACAATATGGACATGGAACTTTGTAACATTCAACTCTGAGAAGTGCCAAATTACTCAGAATCTTTAAAAATATGGATTTTATTACGTTACTGCTTGGCAAACCAAGTTTTAAATTGTTAGGAGGAGAAAACCATGTGTATCTTTGAAATACAATACCTTAGTACAAACAGCAGACAGTGTCAAGATTTCTACAAAGTATACACAAAGTCCAAGAGAAACCAAGTATACTGGAACAACTCCCATAACAGCTGTAAAATGTGGTAAAATCTCATGGAATGTGCAAGTCCTAGAAAACTGATTTTTAACTGTACCACATATATATATATACAGAAACTGAGCTTCCTTATTTCTCATCAGCTCCTCCTACTTACTTTGTATTTTATGTATTTGTGATATAATGGCAGCAACATAAACTTCGGTGAGAAATTATATAGCTCCTTTTTTCCATTCAAGAAAACAAGATTTTAAAACTCTGCCAAAAATACACTAAATAGGACGGCTCTTATTTTTATGAAGCATCCACGACTTTTACAAATTCATTGAGTTAAGAAAGCCTGAAATTGCTTCCAGTACCACACACTGCACAACATGAACACACACATAAGAACCACATTCAGCATGAAAATTACTAACTGCTGTGCTCCGTAATTCCAGTGCTGAATTAGGCTCCAACAGCTGAGCAGTTTCTCATCCAGGAATACAGAGGAGGCACGGAATGCTCTCTCACTGGACAAAAATACCAGCCACCACAGCATACGTGGCTACTGTCCAGAGAGAGGAATGCTAATGTTTTGTGGAATTAGAACTCTCTTAATGACTTCATGAGAACTGGGAGTAAACTTTGTACTTATGCAACTTTGTGTAAAAGGTTTTACTTTTTCTTAGAAAAGTTTTGCTGAATGTCAGAAAAGATGTATTTTTACAATCTCTACTTCCTGCTTGTATCACACACATAGACCATACTTTGCCCATGCACACAAATAAAGAAAACAATAGTCTAAATGGTATTGCAACCTCTGGGCTGAGCAGGCCCATTATCAAAGCAGTGACTAATGATAGTTTTTGAAAATAATACCACTAAGGATTACTGCAGGGAGACCCTGTAGTGGGCAAACAGTGCTTTCTATGTTCTCACCCTCAACCATCCCATATATACCAGAACAAAAGAAAATAAAGTTCACATGTGGGCAAACACACATGTTCCTTGCTACAGCTGCTGTGACTATAAAATTACGTCATTTATATCAAAAGCACTTTTGCCACACATGCAAAACAACCAGTTTCCTGAATTTCTTCTCGTTGAGTAGTGCATCTTCAAGGCCACGGTGTATCAACAACGGTGTACATTTTATTCACGTATCACATAGCTTTGCAGCTCTGGGAATTTAAAAGAAAAGACAAAAAAAAATTGTTTGGGAAGAAAAGCAATTCAAGTTACAGTTTTAAAAAAAAAATTACTTCTTTTTTCACTTCAAACTTTGAAAGCACGTTTAGCAGTCAAATAATGGAAAAGGGTGTTAACAGCAAGTGATATTTCAGGCTCTCCACCACAGAAAAGTGAACACTGCCTTGGAGACCTCTCTCATTTATGAATTAGAATAAGCTGAAGTGGTTCCCAGACTTAGTTGTCTGACCCACCCTGTCTTTACTCCTAATGCCAGTAAAGACAGGGTGGGTCAGGGTTTTGTAAACTAGTGTGCTTCAGCATCTGACTCAACCCCTCTTCGGTGTGTGTGTGAACTTTCAGGGGAAGGTTCAGGTACAAAGCAGATAGAGCTCCAAAGGTTACTGCCTCCAGCTTGAGAGAGCACATGCCTTCCATCTGTAACACCTTCTGTTAATTTTTAGGAGCCCTCTTTCGAGGCAGAAAAAGCAGACAGATTTCTAGCCTTACCCTGAAAGGAAAAATGAAATGGATAAGTGGCAGTTTCTGGGCTTTGGAAGCTCTACCTCAGCACTAGAAGAGGAAGTGTGTTTTCATAAGCCTCAAGGAGACCCAAGAAGAAACAGTCAACTTATTTAAAATTGGATCTCCGAGCCAAACTCTACCTTGTCCTTCAGCAGAATGTGGTAACTGCAGTGGTGACATCCTTTTCTCCCTTCTGGTCTCTTTTGAGTGCAATAAAATGACAAATATCTATTTGTTTCCTGATCTCAAACCACTCTGTGAAGACCACGCAGTGGCCACTTCTGGAGTAAGATCTACCTTCCATTCCTCCTAATTCAGATTCTATGAACTGGTATACATTTATGAATGCATTTAGGAGATACCAATGCAGTTGTCCTTGGTACTGCAGAAGTGCTTGTATTCCTACTGGTTTAGAAAATAATTATATGGAAATACTTGAATGAACCGTGTAGTGGCTGTAAGTAACAAACAGTACAGCACACATTATTTGTAAGGAAGTCTGGTTTTAAAACCAACTCACACACCTTTTTTCCAATTAGGGCTAACCAGGACCTCACTTATTGTCACATTGTCAATTCACACCTCCTAGAAGAGGCATGATATAAAACTATTTCAAGTGAACTAACAGATTTGAGTGGCCTTACTCTTTATCCTGAGTAGCAAGAGGTTGTCATTTAATGCAAGGAGTACCAGGCTAAGGGTCTAGTGATACCACATCACAAGCTTGTTCAGTTTCCAGGAAGAAACATAAGTACCAACAGCACCAACAAGTGCCCTTTTATCCTATTCCCATGAAAAGGAAATACAGCTTCTGAATAGAAAACGATCAGTAAAACTGTTTTCATTTTCAAATGTTAGCATCTAACCTAAAACAGAAGTTCTTCAATGAGAGCATTTGAAATAATAAAAAATTAAGTGAAAGCTGATTGGAATAGAAGCAATCTAATGAAACCAAGAGAAATAAAGTAGCATCTAAAGAGGGGGAAAGGGAGAGAAAGTTACTTTTAAACCACTTTCTAGTGAATTTCCATGGGCGATCACAAATTAAATGCATAGTGAAAGCTCAGTTATATAAAAAACCCCAGCAATAAATCCCCAAAAAACTCAAATAGAACAACCCACCACCAAGGAAACAGTTCATGCATCTTGAATACTGTATGACCATGAAGGAAGCACAAAGGTATTTGACTTTCCACATTTGATCAGAAACATACTATTAAATAGTTCTCTCACTGACTCATCCTCTTCACTGTTTAGGAATACACATTCCTCCCATGCATAATACAGAATGCAAATTCTCTTTCTTTTCAATTAAATATAATCTGAATTAAGAACAGCATCCGCCCTGAAACCTGCACTCCAAGTTTCATCATATTAGCACTGGGTAACTGTAAACATCCTCAAATACACATTAAATTAAATAGATATCCGGAGATATACTGGGACTTACCATCATTCTAACATCACTCCTTTTGCATCTTTAAAAACCAAGCAAATGGATTAGTAATGACTCAGCAAGAAATGCTTAATAATTAACATTCAGATTAATTCTAAAATTCAGGTTAGAACTTGCTACTACTCAGCATGCCAATTAGTGATTATAATAGCAAAGAGAAAGAAAGAGAAAAATAGAATTTTAGAGGCATCCCTTTCTCACTGTAAATTTCCCTCACCTTAAGTGCTAACAGAGTTTCCCAACACCATGGCAGAGTTTCCCCCAACCCAAAGAACTATGGGAACAACAGAGTGGCAAGGATAGATTTTACTATAATCGGAAGTATTTCACCTAAACAAATGTTTTTGAAGAATTAATATCAAGACCCATCCCTCTTTCTCTCTTAAAAGCTGGACATTTTGCAAAGCACAGAGGGCAAGTAAAATATCCTAAAATGTTAGATTTGTCCTACAACAGTCAAACAATGCCACTGGCTAGCAAGGAAAGTAGCATAGAGCAAGGAGATTGGATCTGCCCTAACTTCCCTGAGGAGATCAAACTCTTCTGACTCACAGAGCCACATATATTGACATACTGATCTGCCTTTTCAATGCTATTCTACTGGGAACTACACTTATTGTTCAGCCTTTTTCCAACATTAATCCCTTAATTAGAAGATAAGCCTTGAACATCACCTACCATTTAGTGGTTCTTCTACAGCTTTCTGCAAAACATTTAAAAATATATATATGTATAAAAAGCCTTCATGTTTATTTTTGGCTCGCCACAGTTAAATTACTCTAATTGACATATACAGTAAGTAGTGATTCTACAAAAACGAAGAAAGCTTAACGTTAATCAAATTAATGACTGGAGTTCTGAAAAAAAATTTAAATCAATCAATAGCTGCATTCTCCAGGTTGTTTTCCCCCACTGCGAATGTTGGCTCAGATGAAATACCCCTAGGTGGCAGCAGAAGGCATGCAGATACTACTTTTAAGCTCCACCACCTAACTGATTACTTGTGCCACTTGATCAATGGTTAGTAACAAAGCAGCAGGACTAAAAAGAAAAAAAATTAGTAGCCAAGCAATCAAGTGAAATCTCCTCGAAAAGAAATACGCGACAGTTATGCATTTAGTCTGGAGGACAATTATCAGAAACAACACACGCAATTACGGAAATGCTAAAAAAAAAAATAAAAATCAGTACTTGGTTAAGATGGCAGATTTCAAAACACACAGCTTTTCCCACCTCTGACTCAGGGAAATCTCAACAATCATTTTGTAAGTTTGCCCCAGTGTCAAAGTGAAGCCCTTCACCAATATTAAATTTTCTATAGTCTTTAGATTACACAGAATCAAAGCGTATTTTCAGAATTCCTTCACACCTATTTACTGCCTCAAAGCACAGCAATATATGCTGAACAGTCCTTGGTGGAAACAAGCAACACATTAACACACTTCAATTTTCACTAAGTCTTTCCATGAGGCCTGTACCTTCATGGACACAAATTATGTCACCTGAATTCATTTGTATCTAAGCCTCCACTAACAGTAGCCACAAAAACCCGTATTTTTAGTGGCTGAGGTTTCCAAGAGACCTCTAAGCTTTCAAAATTTCTTTTGTTTTCATTCCTGTCTCCAGTTTAGAGAGGAACACGATGTTCCCTACTACCTTACTGTGGCTATTTGTTTATTTCTCAAATCCTTGCTGCAACGTAAAACCACCTTGTGAGGAGAACAGCTAACAAAGAGAACAGAGTCCTCATCAAAGGATGCTATTTTGCTTGCTGGCTGCTATTTCAAAGTTTATTTACAAATAAACCTAAGTTAAGGAAAAAATCTCTTGCTCTGTTTACTTCCATTCTATAAGTAGACACAAGGATGTTAGATACAGACAAGACTGCATGTTGACTGAGAGATATCTTTAATATCTCAGGTCATTTTTATAACATAATTACCTTTCTGAACCTCTTTTTTCTTTTTGTTTTTTTTTTTAACTCTGTGCATTTATACTCCTTCCATAAGTGAGGCCATTCCTCTGAAATACTACTCCTTAAAATGACAACGGATGAGAAAAAGCAAAGGAAATAAAAAATTAAAAATCTCTTGTCCTAACTGTAGTCAGCTGTCATGTCCCATTTTTGGAAACCATCTTTCTCTAACAGCTGGGTCTCAGGCTGTAGTCTGGAGACCTGGAAAGGTGCCTCCAACAATGGCTGCCACCCAAGAGATGTTCCCCTGCTACAAGGAAATTTTACTGGTGTTTTACTGTTGTGCCTCTTTACTTGCTTGCACAAAAATGCCAGAAATCAGGCAGCTCACATTCATGAGTCACTCGAAAGCACTGCCTAAGTCTATGAAAATTCCTGTTGTGGAAATTATTACTCTAGATTTCATAACACCTGTCTGAAAAACCCTCTTTTAAAAAAAACAAGGTGTTTTTTGATTTGTTCTGTGTTACCTAAAGACAGAATTCTGTTTTCAGAAGGCCTCATCAAATTAAGGGGCATTATAGGAAAATCAGAAAGAAGGTCAAGGCTATACTTTCCACATAGCCAGGAATTAAAAGAGAGTACCATAGAGTTTTTCAGAGAGTTTTGATGTACAAGACCACAGAAAAAAAACCTCCTAAGTCTTTCTTACAAACCACCTGGATGTTTTGCACTCACCTTAATGAAAAAGCTTTTCAAGAAGGTGAGCAGGTCTTTAGAAATACAGATGAAAGAGTGCATTGTAAAAGAATGCCCTTGACATCCACCACCTTTTAGTGACAGCAATGGAAACTCCATTTGGGCACAACAGTCGGAGTAGCCACCAGGTAGGGGTGGCAAGTACAGTACTACAGACACACTCAATAGGGACAATGAAGACCAACTCACTCAACATTAGACACCTGTTACACAGCCAGAACTTTTGCTTGCTACCAACCTGGTCTGAATTCGAACTACTGAAGAAAGGTTCAGTATCTCACTACAAGCCCCTGTGCCATCTAGTCACCCCAAATTTATTAATTTTAAGCTTACCCCTGGACGAGGATGATCTTTCATTCTGGAACCTAAAATAATTACAAAAAAGTGACCAGGCAGATGAATAAATTTCACAATCAACCAAATAAAAACACAGATTCATAGACTTGCCACAGTTGGAAAAGACCTCCAAGAATATCAAGCCCCACCATTCACCTAACACTGCTCCCTTCACCACTAAACCATGTCCCCAAGTGCCACAACTAGACAGTTTTTGAACATTTCTAGTAACAGTGATTTTACCATGCCCCTGGGCAAGCCTCTTCCAATGCTTGACCACTCTTTCAATGAAGAAATTTTTCCTAATATCAAATCTAAACCTCTGCTAGTGCAACTTGAAGCCATTTCCTCTCATCCTGTTGCTTGTTATCTGGGAAAAGGTATTATCTACTGATAAAACGTGTAACAGAGTAGCAACACACAAAATTGAAGCTTCCCCTACCCACAAGGACTTAAGTTGATGATCAGCAAATTCCTAAAGCCTCTAAGCACTCCTCTGTTTAGGAACTGAATAATCTTATCACATACAGTCTGCAAATTGTCTCACTCATGCACTCAGCTCGAAAAATTAATTACGCTACACACTATTCACTGTGCTTATTTTGGTGTGCTAGTCTACCCCAAGTCACATTTGACTTCTTCAGCCAGCATAATCAAACCACAAATGCAACATTTACATAGTAGCACACAGTATTTAAGTCATATACAAGTAGATCAAAGTCAATAAAAAATACTTTTGTTGTTGTTATTAAAAGGCTTGCCTCAGCTCTGTCACATTTTTGACTCATTATCATCTATCTTGGATATCAAATATTAGGAATGCTGCCTTAATTTCTTCTTTGCTGGAAATCCTCCCTGTCTCAGGGTCCATTATTTCTGCCCATGCCCACATATGGTGTGCACACACTAAACCTGGAAGCCTGCACAGTTCAGTACAGACTGGGGAAGCGATGTATCCTCTATCTGTGTCCAAGCTAACAAGCTGTTTGAAGAGCCTTCACGCACAGCTTGGCACAAATAATGTCCCTCTGCTCTCCCACCCAAGCTGTGGAGTCCACATAATGTTATGCTGTGTTGTGCCAGCATTCCAACCACATAGCATGACTCTTTGTTGCTTATTTAGCAGATCTTTAAATCTCTCACCTTTTTTGAGATCTGACGAACAGACCAGATTAGTTTCTGAAACAAGGCCTTACTATTCTTTTCTCCTGGTTTTTAAAATTAAGCCTAAGTAAACCCACAATTCACTAAAAATGAAAGGTGTGCATTGAAATTGCTCTTACTTTAACACACCAATTACCAGTGAAAACCAGCAGGTAGATTTTGTTTCTTTAAATCCATATTTTGATAAGTTCATCATCGCCATCCCAAGCCCACTCCATGAAATCCTTAATATCCTTTTGCTGTCTACATTCTAAGCTTCAGCGACCCAACTGTGTAAATGCAGAACTTTAACAGCAGCATCCCTCCTACAACTGAAACACTCTTACTCAAGAAACCTGGCTGTGCTATCTCAAAACAGTTCATGATGATCAACTGCAGATTTCTTTACTCAAGATTCCCTACAGGCTCTGTGAAACAGAGCCAACACATACAGACAACTCTTCAGTAATTTTTAAAACTATGTGATTGTGAAATCACACCTCATGCTCAAATAAAATACATCTACTCAAAAAAAGGAAAAAAAGCAGAACATTAGCTGCTACTTACCCATAATAACAACGTAAACCAGACTAAGCAAACTTGCAGTAGCCATAATAGCAAAGCCAGCAATCAGAACAGACGCATGTAATGGAGGACAGGCTGTTTAAAACACAATAAAAGTAACTGTATCATCACACACAAGTAAAAGCACAAACGTTTATTTTCAGACATAACTTATTAAAATAAATAAGCCTGATAAAAGCAGATGGGATTAATTTCTCTTTCAAAGTTATCCCAGAACTACTACTGCATCTTTTTTTGTATAAATTCTTTGGTGATACAGAGGCATTTACTGATTTATTCTACTTACATGCACTGTTCTACCAGTTTTGGTATTCTACCATCATTCACTGCAATTGACATTTTTTCATTAACTGTATTTTAAGTTTAAACTTTACATCTTCAATGCCAATTGTTTTGAACTGTAATTGCATCAGATTACGGAATACAATGCTACTATTGAAAAAACAGGAAGAAAAAAGGGAAGAAGGGTGCAGAATATGTGGGTAGTTCTGAGGCAAATCAGCCACAGAAAACAGGAATGCTCCATGTTTACAGGGATACCAGAACAGGAAGAGGCTATTGCAACCTAACCATACTTCACTACTGAAATTCCTTGTTCTCTCTGACTTAAAAGTCATTGCAACTATCTGTGAGCTCAACCCAGGATGAGCAATTTCTACTGATGCTTAAGGGTGATGGAGCTAAACTTCCAGAGAGACAGGTAACATCAACCATGTATGACCTGGGAAGAGACCACCCTGAAAAAACAGGGAGGCTTATCTTTGAGAAGGTAATAAAAACATCCTCCATTTTGTGTTACTCTAGAGCATTAATGCTTTACCAGAAATCTCCTATCAGTTTATTTTACTACTACATCTTACAACACTTAAGTGCCCCTTACAAATACTTCTGTAAATACTAAACAATAAGCATAAAACTTAAATCATAACCCCACTGAAGGGTCTATCCCTCCACTCAGATTACACAAACCCTTAAAAAGCATTTCAAGGAAAAATAGGTCTTAAATCCCCAACCAAATAAATCACTAAAATGAAGGATGTCTCTGAGAAACAATAAATCAGGAGCATAAAGCACCTACAAGGAACACAAGTATGCATATATTCTACTACTAAATATACTGCCAAGGATGCCTAAACTCACCCTTTTCTCTGCTGGGGAAAGCAGGGAGGGGGCAAAGGGAGGGTCAGAGGCAGGAATAAGGCATATCACCATGTGTGGTGTTTAGTTAGTTCCTTTACCATAGTGACTGTTTTTCAGTGATGAAACAGAATGCCAGCCAGAAACAGACTTAAAACAGTCCAAGAACACTTCCAAGTTTACTGTTTACATTTACTTTCTTAATATGTTTCAGTGGTATTCACCGAAATATTCATGGACTCAGTTGCAAACAAGCAGAGATTACCAGGAATTTCTGATTTACTCAGTGAACATGAGAAAATTATTATGACTCTAGTTTAGTTTTTAAATAACCTAAGTCTCAGCAAGAATAACAATAATAGTCACTTGGAATCAACACTGACCTTCAAGGCACTGACATGTAAAATTAAAATAATTAAATTTTATTTTTCATAAAGCAACTGCTCCTAGAATGCAGTCATGAAAAAGGTATATGTAATACTGCCTTTGGGTTATTCTGCTTTCACCAGATAAAAGCATTAACACAGTAGTCCTAAACTACATTTACAAAAGCTACTTGCTAACACTCCATGTAGCGGAGCCATTTTCACAGCTTTTTCGGGTTAGAAATAAAGAAACATGAGGTATAAACAAAAGTAAAAAACCACTTCCATAGAAGACGAAGTGCTTACCTGGGACACACAGTGCAAAGCCAACCACGGCAATTATATAACCAAGAATTTTCAAACCTATCAGAGCCAGTGTCGTTTGAGGTAGACTGTCAAAAACTGGGAAACAAAGAAAGACAAAACTGTAGTTTTTCAAGTTTAACTACAGAGACACAAAAGGTAGGTAATTCACATAAAGCTAGGAATCAGATTCTCCTGAATTCTAAGCTCAGCCAGTCGATGTCATAACAAAATTCACAAGTCACTGCAAGGCAGGGTTCTTGTAGGCATACACACACCTAAAAATTATGTACATATAAATAAAATGATAAATAAACCACAATTAGAAAAAAATTAAACAAACATTCTGAGAGAGAGTTATTCAACCCAATCCCTAGACCCAGGAAGGAAGAGCAGAAATCCCTCAAATGTGCTACCCTAAATCTCATTCTTCGAGTGGGTAACTTATACTTCTCCCCTGAAGCAACTCAGCCAAACAAACTGGCTGAACATCTTGTTTATAGATATGAGGAACGTCAGGAATGCAGGATGCTATTGTAGCACTTACTTATAAAACTGAAAATATTCTGTAGGTTATGGGGGCGAGAGCTCAATTTTTTGCATCCACATGTTAAAGAATAAATAAACACTCACCAATTCCAAACATGAAGTATTGAAATGGTACCAAAATCACAGCAGGGACTACAATTAGGCCAAGACCAGCTTGATTCTGTGCAGTGTAGCCATCTACAAAAATTTATTTGGCAATTAGTAAAACAGAAATTGTTGATCTGAATAAAGCACAAAGCAACAAACATAAATCATTAGCATCATTAAGTTTCAAGGGTTCAGAAAAAATCCCACTTAACCACCGGAAGTCACTCTAATCCCTACTATTCACCCAAGGCAGTAGGATAGAAAACATAAATAAATTCAGAGTCTTTATCTTCCTAAGATCACTTCAGGGCCTTACAACCCCAAAGCTGTTTCTGTTATAGTCTATATATATATATTTTTTTTTAATTTAAAAATTAGTAGACGGCAATTAATAGGTGGTACTAACTTCCATACTACAGCATGGAATAGATTCTTTTGCACTCTTTTCCCCTTAAATTAAGAATGTAATTTTTGTCACTTACCTTGGAAAAAAAGAGCAGTGCCTACACCAGCTACAGCTACAAAGATGACAATTGGTATTATAATGCACACTCTCCTTTGAGATTCCATTTCACATTTTAATACTTGAAGGAAAAAAAAAAAAAGGAGACAGAGAAGAAAACAATCAGAACTGTTCCTAAGCAAAGAAACTCGAACTCCTAAAAATTAAAACTATATACATTCCCAAGATTTAATCTGCTTTCATTCCTTGATATGGTAAATGTGTTTTACTCAGGAAAATGAAACCTGGCATTGGTGTTCTGGTCAAATTCTTAAATTTCTCCTTCCATACAATTCAGGTGATATGTTACTGTATTTCTGTGACATGGCACAGGTTGATTCAGGTAGATGCCCTACTGATATTTAAATGTTACAGTGAATTTGTAACTCAAGTGGAGTGTCACACAGGAATTCATAAATTCCAAGTTTCATTCCCTTTCTCATGACTCTGTGTGAGCTCAGACATATCACCTCTGTCCCCAATGGAACTTAAATCCTAAAAGCCAATCCTGTAAACAAAAACCCCCCAAGCCCTCACCTCAAACAAATCAACACAACTCCCACAACCCACAAACTGAAAAAACCATTCATTCCCAAGTGTTACGCAGAAAAATCATGCCCAATTCAACAAGCTATTTAAAGGCATACAGTAGCATTGAGAGATTCACAATTTTTCTAAAAGGGTGCAAATTAAAGGAAAAAAATCCTCCTAAACAAACCAAAAAAACCCAACAATTAAGTTAGAAGTAGCAAAACTCTCTTCCCCACAGAGGTCAAAGACCTTTCAATAAATTGCCCAGATGCAAAAACATCCAAGCACACCCAAATTACTCCTATAAAATGACAGTGCTTCTCCATGAAATTATTACTTCCCTAAAAATACTGAAGTTCTGCTATGAACACGAGGCAATTACAATTCATGAACACATCAGAGACTCCTAAGCCATAAACAAAAATTAATCTAACACTCTGGAAATAAAATAATTTTTAAAAAACTGTATTAGTTTTCAACCTCTGACCACAGATGAACCTTTGAAGAGTCACATACCACTTCCAGAAGTTCATGAAAAGGTAATATAGGAAATTATATATAAATGGCTGAATACATAAC